TTCCCTTAATCCCTTTTCTTTACAACAATGCGTTGTAATCTACTTGAAAGTTCTTCATACTTATTGATGTTAGTTTTATCACTTGCCATTCATCCCTGATGAGAATCAACACGTGGTATGTGGGAGGTGGGTTTGGACATAGGCTAGAGGATCATGTCAGTGTGAAGAGACAGTTCCCCTGGAGATCTCAGTGTAAAATTGGAGGACATCTAGAACCTTACCACATTTACACAGTTGTTCAGCATCTGTAAAAGGGTTATTTACACCTTAAATTCAAGTTGTTAAAAATGGAGGCATTCCACATAAGGCTAAGAATAAGCTGTCACCATTTAAATTTACCAATAACTTCTAGATGCCATGTTGCACAACAAGAAGGAAAGCAACCTTTCAACAACTTCTTGGTATTGGGCCCCTTCTGTATAATTGGGACTATTCTCAAAGTGGATATTCTTATGATTTTTTTTTTTTTAGACAGAGTCTTGGTCTGTTGCCTGGACTAAAGTGCTGTGGCGTTAGCCTAGCATACAGCAACCTCAAACTCCTAGGCTCAAGTGATCCTCCTTCCTCAGCCTCCCTAGTAGCTGGGACTACAGGCCTGTGCCACCACGCCTGGCTAATTTTTTGTTTCTATTTTTAATTGGCTGGCTAATTTTTTCTATTTTTAGTAGAGATGGGTGTCTCACTCTTGCTCAGGCTGGTCTTGAACTCCTCACCTCAAGTGATCCTCCTACCTTGGCCTCCCAAAGCGCTAAGATTACAGGCATGAGTCACTATTCCCTGCCATTCCTTTGATTTTTGATAGGGTGGGAGAGGGCAAGGGGATCATTTTTAAATGAAAAATTTTTAGCTTATCCTATGGAACTTGTTAACTTTCTATCACTGCAGCCTAGTCCATATAGAACTCCCAGCAACTGAATTTGTGACTGTTCCAACCAATAATGGCATGAGCTGGACTGGCAGTTTAGAAAAATGAAGCTCTTTGGAATTTTTTTAAATTGGGTAAGAACCACGTATAATATTAATAGTTCTAAAACCAGAGAACTGGGAATTTAATCCTTTTTCTCTGTGTCTGTTAGTGACTCTTAATTGGAGTTATTTTGGCATTTCTGACCTGTATCTACATGCTGTTTTTATTGCTTTTTTATTTTACCTGCTTTTAAACTTTTACTAGGCTTATATTCAACCTTGAATACAGATTTGGACAACCTTTTTTAGAATTTTAACTTAAAGTTTATGAATTTTCTCATTGTAGAAAACTACTTATATAGGGTAGTTCTTGTCTTGATTTTAAATGTTTTCTTTACATTGAACATGGGCTATCTGGATTGTATCCAGCCATGTAACCGTTCTCATTACATTAACAATGCTGGATACTTTACAGACAGCACCCATATTCCAAATAAAGTAAAACTTGAAATAATCTGAAAATGCTTTCAATAATTGGGAAAAGAGGTAGATTGTGTTTTAAGTAGTACAGTTTAATTTGTTCCAAGGACATGTAATAAGTTAATAAAATAGTGACAAGTAAAAGAGCTCAGTAACCCCATAATGAATAAAAAGAATGATTTTGATGAGTTCTGATATTTGGATGAAAATGAAACTTTTAAAAAATTTAACATTCTTGAGATAATTTTCTTAAATATTTTGTGGTCTCATGTGGGGTTTTCATTCCACTCTTTATTTTAAAAAAAGAAAAATCAGCCTTACCTAACTTTCAAATTTATGATATAAATAAATGAAAATTTCCTGTTATTCAAGGTTTTTTATCAATAGATTTGATTTCTGAAAATAATAATTACAAGAGAATTTCAAGTAATATAATCGACTTCACTTTGGACTTCCATTTTTCTGTGCTGTCTATTCAGGACAGCTTTATAAAGGAAAGAGAAATTTGTTCTTATTGATGTGTTCAATTTTTAGATAGCTGTGCTCCTTTAATATTAGAAGATCTTGGCCTTGCTTGTTTCAAATGGTAGAAATCTTTCCCATAGATATTGCTCTGATGTTCTATTAGAAAAACTTTCCTGGTAGTGTTGTTTGTCACTAAATATTCTCTAGTTTGAATCATTGATTATCATTAAGTGTTCTCCAACTTGAATTATATATTGAGTTATTGAATTAAAATCATTAATTTGAAGTTAATGCTATTGTAGGCATGTACTTGTAGTCAATAGCCTTTTGAGTTCCTTTAGGCCTTTTGAATTAATTTAGTTTAGTAAGAGTTAGCTGTACTTGCTCATTCCCAAACAATTCAAATATAATACCCGCAGCTACTCTTGTAACCACTGCCATATACTTGGATAAAATGTTCAGAGAGTATGAGGAGGTATTAATCTGCTGAAAAGCATCCAGGAACACAATTTCACGTTAGATCAGTAGGCTTCCAGCCTCTCTATGTTCTATTTTATACTAGAAGTGGCACTGAAGAATATGTTACAGATGAATAGATTTTCCTGCCATACTGATGATGTCAAAGGTTAGAGCTGTGCCAGAAACTCTATCTACATTCTGGTTAATAAAATTATCTATCTATCTATCTATCAAATTTATTTTTGTAGAGACAGTAGGGTCTCGCTGTATTGTCCAGGCTGGTGTCAAACTCCTGGCCTCAGGCAGTCCTCCTGCCTCGGCCTCCCATAAATTCTGGAATTACAAGCGTGAGCTATAGGACACAGCCTGGTTAATAACAATTCTGTCAGGGATTGTCTCAATATCAGATATCAGTCACATGATGGGGCTTCAATTAGGCCTCTAGATCATGCAGTAACATGTATTGAAAAATATAGGGAGTTTGGAAGTTGGCTTCCAAAAGTCAGTTATTGATGATAACTAATGAGGTTTTGATTATAATATGCTTTCTAAGAGTTGAATGTAAGTATTTGTACAGATGTAAATTTAGAAAACCACATAACCAGTTTTAGGAAACAGAAAGTAAACTAGCAAACAAGATATCTTACAGTGTTTTATAAGTGTGCGTTTTGGTATATTTACATTTGCCCATATATGCATAGAAGTAAAAATAGGAAAAAATTATGTTTTTCAACCTTCTATAGTGAGAGTGCTTTAACTAGTAGGTAGAAATCTCCAACCAGAGAGTCATTTAATTTTTCATCCCTGCTTGTCTCTAATTAACAACTTAGTCTGTTTTAAATTTAGCTGTATGGGATTATTAAGATTCTTTTAAAAATAATTACCTTCTTGAATTAGTATTTTCGCAGCCACACTTTTAGTCATTTTCTACAAAACAGGTATAAATGTAGTTAAAATGTTTACAAAAATTATCATTGTCATGTTTTGAACAAATACAGATCACATCTGTGCTATTTTGACTTTTTAAATATATCCTTTTTGAGCAAACATTATACAGATATTGATTAAAAGCAATATTATTAATCACCAAACTATGAAAATATAGAAATGAGAAGGGAAATTTCTTAACTTTAACAAAAACTAGTCTTATTTTGTTTCTATTTTTTATTCTTATTTTTTTCCTTGTTTATCTGGGCAGTGATATTTAATGTAAAAGTTTTAGATAAATCTGTGTATTTAAGATAGATGCCAATTAATAAGTTTTACTTGGTATGGAATATTATAGCTAGCAAGTTATAAATTTTTTTTAATTTTTTTTTATTTCAGCATATTATGGGGGTACAGATGTTTAGGTTTTACGTATGTTGCCCTTGCCCCCCCCCCCGCAAGTTATAAATTTTAAGTAGCAAAATTAAATTTGTGTTTGGAGTATATGGAATCCCTCATTTAGAGTCAAAAATTAAACGGAGAGAACCTACTTCTATTCCTTAAACAACTGCTTATTCTCATTTCACGTGGAATACATATTTGTGTCTGTCTATGCCTCTGATGTCTCTTCTGTAAAATGGGCTCAGGAATGTAATTGACTGCCTTCAGCCCTTTCAAGAACATTAACAGATACCTTGAAGTGTTTGGAAGACAAAATGCTGCCTTGTGTATTTTTTGATACTAACATACCTTGTGAGTATGTGCTGTATATTGTACACAGTGGTTCGGTGTGGCATTGTGAACTTTTTTGTGAGAACAGAAGTTGTGTGCATGCTTTGATGTTACACTATAATTCCATTATTAATGTTTTATAATTTCTGAACTTGATTCTTTGTTATCTCTGGTGCAGTGGGAGCTGTCCCTCTGAACACCTCTATGTTCTATATTATTCCTGGATGGGAGGTGGGCGTACTTACTGATTTCTGGCAGTCTCTTAGAAGTGTGCAGAGAATTGTTGTATGTGTTGGTTAGGGATATGTCCCAGGTCTGCAGTGTATCAAGGAGCGCTTCTTCAGCTTAGGAATAGATAAAAAGAGTCCTGTTCCCTCATTTTTAGGTTTTCTTCCACGGGTGTTTGTTGCCTGGCATGCTGACTCATGGGTTGGAGAGTCAGCTAGAACTTTTTGTTCTTAATGTATAGGTGTGATGAAAGGCGAGAGTCCCAGTCTAGGATTTGTGAGACCTGGACTCTTGTTTGTTCACTGCCCCTACTTAGTGCTCTTTTTTTCTGTTCTGGACTGTTTTCCATCTCTGGGAATAAGGATGCCGTGGTATGAGGATGTTAGGGAGTGAAAAGAGATTTTCTTGTATTAGATGCTTGGATTCCATACAATTCTGAAATGGTGACTAAAAGTATGTATAAAGCTACTTATAGTTACTCATATGAAAACTGTTATAACTCATAATGATTTGCTTTATATTTGCACATGGGGGTTAACTTTCACTGCTCAAGAACTTTATTGCATAACTTCCAGCATCATTAGTGAATGCTTATGGATAAAAAGCTTTGTGGCCTTTAAAGAATTCCTAAGTGCTATTTTGTTAAATTTTCTGTGATAAAAATTATTCTTACGAAGTATAAGGAAGGACGATAATTTTCATGTCTGGTTAATATTTGTGAAGGTTGGTTATTTTCAGTCTTGTGGTAGAAGTTTCTAAAATCGTTTTATGTTTTTGTGACATCTTTTGTCATTCTTTTCCAGAGAATTCGGTCAACAGTGGATGAAAAAGAACAAAAGCAACTTCTTATGGATTTGGATGTAGTAATGCGGAGTAGTGATTGCCCATACATTGTTCAGTTTTATGGTGCACTCTTCCGAGAGGTAGGAGTAAACTTTTTGGGTTTTAGCTGACCAGTGAATATCTAATTGGGACAAATAAGATGGCAGGATTAGATTCTAATCTTCAATGAAATACCATAAATTAGTAATAAGTTAGTATCTCAATATTTTATTATATAGCCATGATAATTAACACATTAACTTCCACCATTCATTTTTCCTTTGGATAAACAGTGAATTTCTTATATACATATATGTATATTAATGTGTGTGTGTGTCTGTGTGTATGTGTATGTATTTGTGGCTGTCATTTGTAAATCCCATATTTCCTTTCTTTATTTACAGATATTTTCTTTTCTTCAAGAACTTGACAAATCAACTGACTTCTCAATATCAGTGCTTTTATTGTAGGTTTAGATTCTCTCTCTTTTGGCCTTGAGCTGCCTTCCCCCTACCCCTCTTTTTAAGTTTTACTCATTCCTGTCATCAAATGTACCTGCATTTAATGTAAACGTTTATTTGTCTCCACCCACAATCCTCAGATATACCCATCAGACATGGAACATAACAATTACAATAGAAATTTTTTCTAATTTTTTTATCCAGATTTTTGTGTAGAAACTAGAATTCTTAATTTCTTGGTCTCATGATCATCTTCCTTCTTTTGGCCTCTGGCTGTTCTGTGTCCCAACTTGGGTTATCACTTCTGCCTCCAGCTGTCAATCCACTTACTCATTTCCAGTCATTTAGCTGCCTAAAGCGTGAAAGTGAGATTGGACTAGGAGTAGAGCTGGAGCTTTAATATTAATACTTTATGGTATCATGGACTGTCAAAAAAAATTGTGATATTTAATTTCTTGAACTGCTGAGCATTTCAGAGACTCTTAAAAAATACCATTCTCATTTTGAAAATGTTAGGATGAGCTGGTGAGTTGCTAATGAACTAGTAAGAAAAACCCTCTTTACCCTCTCTTCTTTTGGGAACTGGATCACAGAGTATAGCCTCTGGATTTTTGTTGTTGGCTTTAAAAATACTATTAATATATATATTTTTTTTAAAAGGAATGAATGTAGCACTGAATAGAAATATATGAAATCTTATAATTAGAAAAGATGTTAGAGGTTAGTCAGTTAATCCTCAACCCAATTCTGAAATTTTAATTTATTTTTCTGTGCTCTTAATAGGTAACTTTAGTAACTGGAAGTGTTCTACTTCTTGATGGAGCCCATTTTTTGTTGAATAGTGATTAAAAACTGTTAATTCTAAACTTTTGTAGTTTTTACTTTTGTTTTTGTGCTTTTTAATGACTTGAATATTCATTTTTGTGACCAGATACTTTGAATTTGTTAACTTTCTTCATCATTTCACATCACTATTACATCATATCAGTATACAGTCATGTATTCATATGTATGACTGTGTCCTGGACCTAAATATTATGTAATGTTATTCTGTTTGTAAGATCATGAACCTAGAACTTTCTTCATGTTACACAGGAATCTTGTCATCTCCTCCTACATCTATCCCCAAACAGTGAACTTATTCTTCACAATCATTAAATCCTGTGGTGACTTTACTCTTCATATCTTATGCAGAATGATAGTTATTTAGGGGCCGAACTAGATTTTCTCTCCTAACTAGATTCTACAGTCAGCCTTTTCAGTGCTGTGTTCACTATCACTATTGACTCCCACTGGCCTTATCTTAACCTAAAATTACCTCCATAGTGCTGGAATATACCAGTTCATTTCTCTTGTTCATTTATTTAATCATGCATTTAAGCACTGTTTAAACATACAGCCTCAGGTGAGGTAGTGTGGAAGTCTGATTATATGAAAGGAAGGCAGAGTAAATGATACCCATGATAAGACAAGGTAATGGAAACAAAGAGAAATGCTTAGAATAGTATCTGAACTGTATCCTTATGGTTTCTTATCATCAATAGATGAGTAAAATCTGGTTTTATCTCAGGAAGGTTAAAGGGAGCTGAGATATACAGCTATAAGCACTAACATTTGTCGAATACTTTATAGTTTTCACATGTATTGTCTTCCCAACAGTCTTAGGGGATTTGGTAGTATTATCCCCTTTTTCCAGAGAGGAAAATGAGATTTGGAATATTAATTTGACAAAAGTTACACAGCCAATACATGGCAGAGATGAGACTGCAGAGAAAGAAATCTCACTGTTCCTTCTATTTTATTACAAATGTGGTCCAGAGATGAAGAGTTTTTAGCTTCATTAAAAAAAAAAATCTGCTGTTTTAAACATTGTGATTTTTGAGTATGATAAAATGAAGGCTTAGGAATTACACAGTTAAGCAGTATAAAGTCACAAAATGCCTAAGTAGTTGAAACATGAACTTTCCCTCCAAATCTTAGAATGGAATAAGTAATAGGGATTTTCTGAATAATTAAAGATGAAGTTTTAGAAAAGCAGAAAGTTCACCTTTAAAGAGTGAATAGTCAAAGTATATGTCTTGAAGTTTCAAAGGCTAAAAATATTAAACGGATTTAATAAGGATTCAGAGAAACATTTTTCTTTTGAGGTTGATGACTTAAAAACATCTTTTTTGGTGATATGACCTTTAGTTCCAATAATGGATACAAAATTCTGGGTTTGTGAAAGGAAATAATAGAAATGAATGTATGTAGTCAGGACTTTTTACCTTATCCTACCACCACTGCTGTGCTTTTAATTTCTGTCACTGCGAGAGATCCTCCACGGATTTCATTTCATATAATTAATATGACCACAAGACTTCAGCTCTTGCTTTGATTCAGTCAGCCATTAATCAAGGAGCTTATGAGATTTCTTATTCTTGCAGCTACTATGTAGAGATTAATCTTGCTGTTGAGTAGTATTGAGCCTCTGGAAGTTCCATAATGTTATTCGGAGCAGTGAATGCATACTTAATCCTGAAATTGGTAACTTACATGTTGCCATTGTCTTCAACCATGTATGCTGCTTTCTAGGTTGGAACTATACTCAAAAAGCCCAAAGTGCAACATAGATTTTATTTCAATAAAATATTAGGATACTCAATTGCACAGGTTTCTAAAAGTCATTTCTAGACTTTGTAGATGGGGGGATTAAAAAAGAGCTTGATAATATTGCATAATGGAAGTAACTTTTAGCCTGTAATTTACAAAAGGGCTACCATTTATCTTATCAATGCTGAAGCCTAGTGTCACTTAAATAGTATATGAAATTTGAGAATTTAATAGCAAGTAAACCATCATTTCAGACATCTTTTGAGGTTGGGAAATAAATTCTAGTGCAGGAAGTACCATTATGAGTAACTTGTGATTGTACAAATTCATCAGATTACAGAAGGCAGTGAGTGATACTAGCTGAATTTAGTCACCCCTTTTTTCTACTCCTACTTCCACCCCCTTTCTTCTGTCTCTTTCCTTTCTCCTTGCAATTTTTTTTGAGACAGAGTGTTGGCTGTAACCTGGGCTAGAGTGGTGTTAGCCTAGCTCACAGCAACCTCAAACTCCTGGGCTCAAGCAATCCTCCTACCTCAGCCTCCCAAGTAGCTGGGACTGCAGGTATGTGCCACCATGCCTGGCTAATATTTTCTATTTTTAGTAGAGATGGGGCCTTGCTCTTGCTGAGGCTGGTCTGGAACTCCTGACCTCAAGTGATCTTCCCACCTCAGCCTCCCAGAGTCCTAGGATTACAGGCTTGAGCCACTGCTCCTGGCCATCCTTGCAAGTTTTAAATACAGCTTGTAGAAGTAAAATTGACAACTGATAAACTGCATATATTTAAAATGTACAGTTTGATAATATTTGACCAAATGTGTTAATATAAACCTGCAGGATTATCACCAAATCAAGATAATGAATGTACCCATCACTCACAAGTTTACTTATGCTCTATAGAAAATACACTCCACCCCTCTGATGTCCCCATCCTCAGGCAACGACAGATCTGCTTTCTGCCACTGTGAATTAATTTGCATTTTCTAGAATTTTATATAAATGAAATCATACCATATGTACTTTTTTATTTTTTGATTTGTCTTCTTTCACTCAGCATAATTATTTTGCAATTCATGTTGTACTATATATTGATAGTTTGTTCCTTTTTATGGCTGAGTACTGGAATCTAATGGAATCTAATATTCCATTAAGTGAATACACCACGGTTTGTTTACTCATTCACCTGTTGATGGACATGTGGGTTGTTTCCAACTTTTGTAAATAAAGTTGCCATGAGCATTTATTTACAAGTATTTGTGTGGACACATGCTTTTATTTTTCTTGGTAAATACATAAGTGTAGAATGGCTGGATTGTATGGTAGGTATATGTTTAACTTTTTGAAAAATGGGCAAATACAGCTGGGCAGGTTGGCTCATACCTGTAATCCCAGCACTTTGGGAAGCTCAGGTGGGAGAACTGCTTGAGCCCAGGAGTTCCAGACCACCCTAGGCAACATAGCAAGACCCTGTCTCTACAAAAAATAATAGTAAAAAAATTTAGCCGAGTGTGATGGCATGTGCTTGTAGTCCTAGCTGCTCAGGAGGCTGAATCAGGAGGATAACCTCAGCCCAGGAGTTTAATGCTGCAGTGAGCTATGATCATACCACTGCATTCCAGCCTGGGTAGTGAGCGAGGCCCTGTCTCAAAAAAAAGAAAAAAAGGACAAACTGCTTTCTAAGGTAGTTGCACTATTTTATACTTCCACCAGTAGTGTTTGAGAATTCTATTTCTTCAGTATCATTTGCAATACTTGGAATAGCCTGTCTCTTTTTTTAATATCTTTAGCCATTCTGATAGATGTATGGTGGAATCTTTTTGTAGTTTTAATTTGCATTTTTCTAATGACTAACAACATTGAACATCTCTTAATGTGCTTATTTGCCAATTGTGTATCTTCTTCCATGAAGTTTCTGTTAAAAAATCTGTTGTACATTGAGTTTTTTGTTATTATTTAGTTTTGGGAGGTTTTTTAAAATGTGTTCTAAATACAAACTTATTAAATACGTAATTTGTAGATATTTTCTCCTTGTCTGTAGCTTATCTTTTTAT